ACACCTGAAACTAACATAATATTATACATCAGCTATATTAAATAAAACAAACCAAAAAAATAGTACTGATTCATTAGATGTAACAATTTTACTAATGTTAAGATGGAAATAACAGGAAACTAGGCACAAGGTAATGAAACTCTATACTGTTTCATAATTTTTCTGTAAATGTAAAACTGCTCTTAAAGTCAAAGTATTTTTATCTGATTTTATTTTTAATTGAAGGATAATCACCTTACAGAATTTTGTTGTATTCTGCCAAATACCAACATGAATCAGCCATAGGCATACATATGTCCTTGCCTCTTGAACCTCCCTCCCATCTCCCATCCCATCCCACCCTCTAAGCTGATACGAGCCTCTGCCTGAGTTCCCTGAGTCATGCAGCAAATCCCCATTGACTACCTATTTTACATATGGTAATGCAAGCTTCCATGTTACTCTCCCACACATCTCACCCTCTTCTTCCCCTCCCCCAGTGTCCAGAATTCAGTTCTCTGTCTGTCTCCATTGCTGCCCTGAAAATAAAACTAACTGGTACCATCCTTCTTGATTCCATACATATGCGTTAGTATGTAAGACTTATATTTCTCTTTCTGACTTACTTCACTCTGTATAATAGGCTCTAGGTTCACCCACCTCATTAGAACTGACTTGAATGTGTTTCTTTTATGGCTGAGTAGTATTCTATTGTATATATGTATATGTACCACAGCTTCTTCATCCATTCATCTGTTGATGGGCATCTATGTTGCTTCCATGTTCTAACCATTGTAAATAGCGCTGCAATGAACATTGGGGTATATGTGTCTTTTTCAATTTTGGTTTCCTTGGGCTTCCCTTGTGGCTCAGCGGGTAAAGAATCTGCCTGCAATGCGAGAGACCTGGGTTCTATCGCTGGGTTGGGAAGATCTCCTGGAGAAGGGAAAGGCTATCCACTCCAGTATTCTGGCCTGGAGAATTCTGGCCTGGAGAATTCTGGCCTGGGTTGCAAAGAGTCAGACATGACAAAGCGACTTTCACCTTCACAGTGTATGCCTAGGAGTGGGATTGCTGGGTCACATGGTGGTCTTATTCCTAGTTTTTTAAGGAATCTCCATACCATCTTCCACAGTGGCTGTATCAATTTACATTATAGCAAAGCAAGAGCATTCCCTTTTCTCCACACTCTCTCCAGCATTTATTGTTTGCAGACTTTTTGATGATGGCTATTCTGAATGGTGTGAAGTGATATCTCATTGCAGTTTTGATTTGCATTTCTCTAATAATAAGTGATGTTGAGCATCTTTTCATGTGTTTGTATGTCTTCTTTTCATTTTTGTCTTTTGTTTTCATCTGTGTGTCTTCTTTGGAGAAATGTCTTTTCAGGTCTTTTTCTCACTTCTTGATTGGATTGTTTGCTTTTCTTGTATTGAGTTGTATGAGCTGCTTGTATATTTGAGAAATTAATCCTTTGTCAGTTGTTTCATGTGCTATTATTTTCCCCCATTCTGAGGGTTGTCTTTTCACCATGTTTGTAGATTCCTTTGCTGTTTGAAAGCTTTTAAGCTTAATGAGGTCCCACTTGCTTATTTTTATTTCCATTACTCTAGGAGGTGGGTCATAGGGGATCTGACTTTGATTTATGTCATCAAGTGTTCTGCCTATGTTTTCCTCTAAGAGTTTTATAGTTTCTGGTCTTACATTTAGGTATTTAATTAATTTTGATTTTCTTTGTCTATGGTGTTAGGAAGTGTTCTGATTTCATTCTTTTACACACAGCTGTGTGGCTGTCCAGTTTTCCCAGCACCACTTATGCAAGAGGCTATCTTTGCCCCACTGTATATTCTTGCCTCCTTTGTCAAAAAGAAGGTACCATAGGTGGTGGTTTTATCTCTAGCTCTCTATCTTGTTCCACTGGTCTAGATTTCCATTTTTGTGACAAACCATACTGTCTCAATGACTGCAGCTTTGTAGTACAGTCTGAAGTCAGAAAGGTTGATTCCTCTAGCTTCATTCTTCTCTCTCAAGACTGGTTTTGCTATTTTTGTGTTTCCATATCAAGTTTGAAATTTTTTGTTCTAAGTCTGCAAAACATGGCCTTGGTAATTTGATAGGGATCACAATGAATCTGTAGATTGCACTTGGCAGTATAGTCATTTTCACCATATTGATTCTTCCAACCCAGCAACATGGAATAATCTATCTGTTTATGTTGTCTTAATTAAAAATTAAGGCACTGTTTAAAGTAAAGGATAGTGTTAAGACAAGAAGAGGATAGATAATTTTTTATTTTTAAAAAAGGAGAAGGTAGGGACAATTTATGACCAGAAACTAATATAACTGTCTGACTCTAATGAGTACTAACAAAGCCTCATAAGAAATTTGTATTTAAGACATTAACTTTAAGTATTAGAAATTCAAGTAGTGTATGACTGAATTGCTTTAGAATACTGTTAATTATTATTAACTAACATAAAGTAATTCCTTAGAAGCTTGCAGTCAGATATAATTAACTTGGGTAATGACTAAAAGGGTAAATATCTTATTGCTTATTCAGATTAATAAAATAATCTATTAGCTACAACAGATAGGATAAACAGTCAGATACTGTAGGAAACAGATGAAACTCCATCAAATCAATATTTCAAACATTTTTATATTAAAATATTCACAGATGAAAATCTGAAGCTAATTAAGACATAGTATTTTTTTAGAGCTAAGATAGCACAATAAAGCACAGATCAAGAAAGGATCTACTCAAATAGTGTTAATAACACTATTCAAATAGTGCTAAAATGAAATCAAAATGATATGACTGGCTCAAGAGGAAGAAACAGATCAGCTAATGCTCAGTAAGTTAGAGGCAAAAAGAACATTTAGTACCTTTAATTGAAAATTAATTTTATAATTAAAATTTAATGCCTTCTAATTGAAAAATGTGGATTACCTCACAGTAAAAAAGGAAAACTGAGAATAGGAAACGAAATGCGTGAAACAATATATGAGTTGAAAATAGAAAATGTCTCTTTACTGGACAACAGTTTCTTTCACTGAGAAATGCCTTTGGGACACAGCCTATAAATCAGGAGGCAAACTGAAGTGTACACTTACACCTCTGTGCCTGTGTGGACCCAGACTGTCTTCAGTGCTTTAGGGAAAATGAAACCATTGAAAAAAATCCAAACTTCTGATAAAGACTTTTTGAAAATTTTGTTACTTTTTTTAATTTATTCTTACATTTTGTAAAGGTAGGGGTCAGACTAAAGAGGAATGAAATATTTATACAAAATGTCCTAATTATGAAAATGCAAATGTTTATGTAACAGTCTAGAAAAGAACATGGGAAAATTAATACAAATAACTGGCAAGGTGGGTTAAGGGTTTTTTGACTGATTAAATTTTGAATGGAATTTTTTACTTTTACTTTTTGATAAAGTCTAGAGGAAAGAAACAAATGGAAAAGAAGGGTAATGAAAAGTCAAAATTTAAAAAAACCAAAATTTAAGCTGATAAACTGACGTTCTCAATGACCTAAAGGTATTAAAGACTAGAACTGGAATGAAAACATCAATACCAGTTCTTGGGCTACATAGGTTCTGTGTGTTTGTGTGTGTAACAAACAATATGCATATGTATATTTTCCACACTATTAGTTTCTGAAACTAGCATTCATTCATTCAACTTCCAATCATACCACTTTTCCTCACTCACTCCACGCTTGCTACACTGTTTTTTTTCCCCCTTCGGTTCCATAAATGCCTACCTCCTGTCTTCACCCACTGACACCTCTTTCTGAAACATTATTCATTCACATCTTCATGTTGCTTGCTTTTTCTCATCTTTCATACCTTTACTTTTGTACCTATAAAATATCTCCTCAGAGAAGCCTTTGAGATCAGCTTCTCAAAAAATAGCCTCCCACATTTCCACATTTCCTCTCTATATCTGTTTCATAACAACATTCCTTAAATCAGGGCAACCATTACATTATTTATTTTTCTGCTCTATTTCACTAGTATATAATCTACACAAGTATATTTGATTCTCTACTTTCCCCCAGTGACTAATTAGGTTCTGACATACAACAGGTACATGATAATTATTTACTTAATGTAAGAATTAAATTGCCAAATACTGAAATGTGACTATTATGAGTGGCTATTAAGTAAGTGATATTTAATATTTATTGAGGAGAAGGGGACAACAGAGGACGAGATGGTTGGATGGCATCACCGACTCAATGGACATGAGTTTGAGCAAGCTCCAGGAGACAGTGAAGGACAGGGAAGCCTGGTGTGCTGCAGTTCACAGGGTCACAAAGAGTTGGACATGACTGAGTGACTGAACAGCAAGGATATTTATTGAAGAAGTGACTATAAACATGCATATATATAATGATAAGTAAAAGCTACCTATACTAACGGAACTAACAGACTACTGAGGGGGACACTCAACAATAGATATGGAGGGCTGACTATGGGACTTGAGCATCTGTGGATTTTGATATACGGGACTGAAGAAACCAATCCCCAGGGGATGCAAGCATTAACTGTACAACAAACTTCTTCAAATTATGAGGTAGATAGTCTATAAAGAAATAAAAAGATTTCATGAGAATGTAAGGGAAGAAGCAGAAGCTACTTTAGAGTAAGTAGCTCTGAAGCTATTTTAATACTGACACTTTAGTGCCAATCATGAAAATAAGATCACACAGATGGGATATGGCAGAACAAGGATCTGAATCCATGTGGTCTGGATCCAAAGTCTAAGGCCTGAAGCCCAACTCAGTGCTGCCTCTCTGTAGAGTGGAATTACATGAAACATGAGTTTCATATCATTTGAATATTTATACTCAATCTAAAGAAAATCCTAAGAATCATGGGAACTTAGAAAATATTTGAAACATAAGAGTAAGACAAGACGGATTACCTAGAATCTTAGAAGTGTATGAAGAAAGAAGCAAATTTACATATACCATTAATTCATTTCCTTAGGACAATAAACACTGTATTTCTTACCTTAACACCTATTGCAACAATAAGGTGCTTGGGAAATTGAGAGCTGTCGAAACAATAAAGACATTTTTCCATTTGTGCAATAAGACTCCGGTGCTCAGCAATAGCTTTTTTCCTCTGATTCTCTTCCTCTTCACCAAAACGTTCTCTCTCAGCTGCTTTGGAGACAAACATGTCATCCAGAGTGTAATAGTCTCCGTCTGCTTTTCCCATAAACTGAAAAACCAAAATAAAAGTAGTAAAGAGAAGGCAGTGGTTTATTCAGTTTATTGTCATGAAAAAAGTAAAATGAAAGTGTTAGTCGCCCAGTTGTGTCTGATAATACTGTGGCATACTCAAGTTATAAGTTCTGTGATAAAAAGGTTACATGAAAATTTTAGAAAAGAAAAAAATCATTAAAATTTAAGTTTGAACTGCAGGGATCAATTTATTATCATTATCACAAATAGAGTGTACTGAGTATTTAGTTGTGCAATTCTATGCAATTTGATTGTTTTTATACTCCTATGGGCTTCCCTGATGGTTCAGACAAAAAGAATCTGCCTCTAATGCAGGAGACCTGAGTTCGATCCCTGGGCCTGGAAGATCCCCTGGAGAAGGGAATGGCAACCAACTCCAGTATTTTTGCCTGGAGAATTCCATGGACAGAGGAGCTCAGCAGTCACAAAGAGCTGGACACAACAGAGACTGACACCTTTACTTTCACACTCCTATGAGGAGGGAATCATTGTCACTTTGATTTATAAACGAGGAAACTAAACCACAGAGAGGTTAAGAACAACTTTCCCTATAAAATTAGCATACCGTCTATTAAATGTATATACCACCAATTTGCTAATAAGTATATTGAGAACTATCTTCTCCCTTCTCTTTAAAAAATAATTTTTTAAATTTATTTTTATAGAGGTAACAATGATTTATAAAATTATGTATGTTTCATGCATACATAACCAAATTCTTTTAATAAGTCTTTCTAACACTCTCTTATTGAGAATATCCCACAGTTCAACATGGGGTGAATTCTGTTTTGCTGCTATATAATAACAGAGAAGGCGATGGCACCCCACTCCAGTACTCTTGCCTGGAAAATCCCATGGATGGAGGAGGAAAAGCCTGGTAGGCTATAGTCCACGGGTTCACTGAGTCAGATACAGCTGAATGACTTCACTTTCACTTTTCACTTTCATGCATTGGAGAAGGAAATGGCAACTCACTCCAGTATTCTTGCCTGGAGAATCCCAGGGACGGCGGAGCCTGGTGGGCTGCCGTCTATGGGGTCACACAGAGTCGGTCATGACCGAAGCGACTTAACAGCAGCTATATAATAAACCAAACTTAATTCTATGTGTCCCTAGTGATCTATGGCTAGACACACTGACATACTGCTAATTTAGGGGTATGTGGTAATGGTGTTTTGATCATGCTAAAAAACTCTGTTAAAAGTGTATTTATCTCATTAAAGTGTGGTTGGTTTGCAATGCTGATTTCAGGTGTCCAGCAGAATGATTCAGCTATATACACGTGTGCATCTGTATGTGTATGTGTATACTCTTTTCTGAATTCTTTTCCATTACAGGTTACTGCAGAAAGTTGAATGTAGTTTCCTGTGTTAATCAGTAGGTCTTTGCTTGCTGTTTTATATACAAGAGTGTATATCTGTTAATCCCAAACTCCTAATTTACTTAAATTAGGAATTAAATTTTATTTCCATTAACAAAAATAAATCCCAGAAGCTCATCCATGAAAAAAAAAATTAAAAATTAGCATGCACTCCACATCAGTTTTCAACTGTATCTCAAGGCACTTTCTCTAAACCTTCCTCAAGATAAACTGTAGCAAAGGGGATGTTTTTAAAACAAAAATTTTATTAACTTATTTATGTCCTGGTTTAAAATCCTCAAAACACTCTATATTGGGAACAAGATCAAGTTCAAGCCATTCTTTGGCCTACTAAATCATAGATATTGAAAGGTATAATGGTTAAAAACTTGGGTTCTATAATCAGAATAACTGTGGTAATATTCTAATATAATAATATCAGGCAGTTACTTAATCTTTCTGCAGTCTCTCTATGGTCTATTTCCCTATTTTACAATGGTTGTAACAATATTATTCATCTAACAAGGTCATCTTTCTTAATTCTTTAGCACACGCCTGGCACACAATAAGGACTCATAAATATGAGTCACCTCAGCCACACATGATCATGTTGTTTTTCAGTTGCTCGATGTCCAACTCTTTGCAACCCCATGGACTGCAGCACACCGGACTTCCCTGTCCTTCCGAATCTCCCAGAGTTTGTTCAAACTCTTGTCCATTAAGTCAATGGTTCCATCCAACCATCTCATCCCTGTTTCCCACTTCCCTCTCAATCTTTGTCAGTGTTTGTCTTTTCCAGTGAGTCAGCTCATCCCATCAAATGGCCAGAGTAACGGAGCTTCAGCTTCAGCATCAGTCCTTCCAATGAATATTCAGGGTTGATTACCTTTAGGATTGACTGGTTTGATCTCCTTGCTGTCCAAGGAATTCTCAAGAGTCATCTCTAACACCTCAGTTGGAAGGCATCAGTTTTTCAGTGCTCAGCCTTCTTTATGGTCCAATTCTCACATAACTAATGGAAAAACCACAGTTTTGACTATATGGACCTTTGTTGGCAGTGATGTCTCTGCTTTTTAATACACTGTCTAGGTTTGTCATAGTTTTTCTTCTAAGGAGGCGGTATCTTTTAATTTCAAGGCTGCAGTCACTGTCCAGAGTTTGGAGCCCAAGAAATAAAGTCTGTCACTGTTTCCATTTTCTCCCCGTCTATTTGCCATGAAGTGATGGGACTGGATGCCATGATCTTCATTTTTCAAATGTTGAGTTTTAAGCCAACTTTTTCACTCTCCTCTTTCACTTTTATCAGGAGGATCTTTAACTCAACATTCAAAAAACAAAGATCATGACATCCAGTCCCATTACTTCAAGGCAAATAGATGGGGGAAAAATGGAAACAGTAACAGACTATTTTCTTGGGCTCCAAAATCACTGCAGATGGTGACTGCAGCAATGAAATTCAAAGACACTTGCTCCTTGGAAGAAAAACTATGACCAAACTAGACTGCATATTAAAAAGCAGAGATATGGCTTTGCCAACAAAGGTCTTCATAGTCAAAGGTATGGTTTTTCCCAGTAGTCATGTATGGATCTGAGAGTTGGACCATAAAGAAAGCTCAATTCTTTGAGTGCCAAAGAATTGATTCTTTTAAATTGTGGTATTGGAGAAGACTCTTAAGAGTCCCTTGGACTGCAAGGAGATCAAACCAGTCCATCCTAAATGAAATCACTCCTGAATATTCATTGGAAGGACTGATGTCGAAGCTGAAGATCCAATATTTGGCACCTGATGTAAAGAACTGACTCACTGGAAAAAACCCTGATGCTGGGAAAAATTGAAGGTGGGAGGAAAAGGGACGACAGAGGATGAGATGGTGGAAGGCATCACTGACTCGAAGGACATGTGTTTGAACAAGCTCTGGGAGTTAGTGATGGACAGGGAAGCCTGGCATGCTGCAGTTCACAGCGTCGCAAAGAGTTAGACATGACTGAGCGACTGAACTGAAGAGACTTTTCAGTTCCTCTTCACTTTGTGCCATTAGGGTGGTGTCATCTGCATATCTGAGGTTACTGGTATTTCTCTGGGCAATCTTGATTCCAGCTTGTGCTTCATCCAGCTGGGCATTTCGCATGATGTACTCTGCACAGAAGTTAAATAAGCAGGATGAAAATATACAGCCTTGACCTACTCTTCCCAACTTGGAACCAGTCTGTTGTTCCGTGTCCGCTTCTGTTGCTTCTTAACCTGCACACAGTTTTCTCAGGAGGCAGGTAAGGTAGTCTGATATTCCCATCTCTTTAGGAATTTTCCATAGTTTGTTGTGATCCACACAGTCAGTCACATGTGATCATATTCCTACTCAAACTCTATACTTTGCCACCCTATTTTAGTCCCCCAAAGTACTGTTCTCTTCAGGCTTTGCATATATTGCTCTCTGACCAATTTTGTCCTCAATCTTGCCATTCCTACTTCTACTCATTTTCTTAATCTGAAGCTGGTTTATAGGGTTGGCCAAAAGTTTCCTTCTGTTTTTAAAAAACAAGAGATACATTTTCATTTTCACCAAGAACTTTATTGAAAAATGTATTCACCAGTTTGTTCCACTATTTTCTGCCACTTTCCTGGCAACTTCACCATTCCATCTTTCCAAAACTTTTTATCTTTATATGAGCAATGAACTGTTCCAGGTATCTTTTGCAGTCTTCCAGGGAATTGAAATTTTTTTCCATTAAGAGAATTTTGTAAAGACCAAAAGAAATGGACATCTGAAGGTGCAATGTCTGGTGAATATGGTGGATGAATTAGAACTTCCCAGTCAAGCTGTAACAATTTTTGCCTGGTCATCAAAACATGTGATCTTGCACTAACCTGGTGGAAGATTATTTGTTTTCCTTTGAAAACAAATAATTCCTTTGAATTATCTAATTGGGAGCAGTACTCATTGGAATTAACACTCCTCCTTCATTATCACTCTCAAGTGATATCTGAGTCCTTTCATTCAACTAATAGAGGCAATAAGAGGAAAACTAGTTCATTTGCTACTCCCACATTTACAAACCTAACTGCATCTGTGCCTTTCCTACTGATGGACAGTAACCAGCTCCTTTCTAAGCTTATCTCTTCACCACCTGTTCTTACACTCACTCTTGAACACATCATAATCAAGCTTTTCTCTTTCAGAGACCAAGAAAACCACACTCATCAAAGTCACAAAGGGAGTTTGCTGGTGGTCCAGTGGTTAAGATGCAGGACTTTCACTGCCATGACCCAGGTTCAATCCCTGCTTGGGGAACTAAGATCCCACAAGCTGAATGGCATGGTCAAAAAAAAAAGTCATCAGAAGCATTCCCAATGCCAAATGAATACTCATTTTTCCATCTGTGAAAATCCTACTGTCTCTTAGAAACAGGAGACACAGTTATTCACAACATCCTTCTTGTCTCCTCTGGCTTCTGAAACACCACGCGGTTTTCCTTCTACCTCACTGGTCGTGCCTTCTGAATCTCATTTGCTGAATCTTTTTCCTTCTTTCAGATAGTGCTCGGCTAAGTCTTCAGATCCTCCTCATAAACAGTTTCTTAAGTCCCTGTTAACAGCATCTGTATCTATATGGGAGAACCAAGATATACCCAGAGCTCCATGCACAGTCATTCCACACCATCATGTGAATGACTAATGGGCATACTTAATGTGTTCATAACAGTACTCTTCCTCTTGCACCTCCTGAAAGAATTTTCCCCTGCCAAAGTTTTTCTGTTTCAATGAATGGCATCATCATTGCTCCAAATGTTATTGCTTTTCACCAGTTTACCACCCTAACCCAAGGCTCTATCTGAATTAAGGAAATTATCCTCCTAAATAATCTCCCTGCTTCCATTCTTGCCTGTCTACATTACATTCTCAAGAGTCACCAAAAAATCTTTCAAAACATAAACCAGCAGTCTCCAGACTGGCATTTCAGAGGCTAGGAAGTCACCACTCTATCCCAACAAGTACAAAGGTGAACAAACTGAAAAACTGACAGCACTTTTTAGACTCAGGAAAGTGATTGCCCCCAAAATTGGAGAAACAATCAGGTTGGTACAAAGAATCCTAATTTAACTTATCTATAAAAAAAACCAGTGGTTCTGTGAGGACCAGTGCCAGGGTAGGAAAATCTAAACTGTACTCGATAAATTTCAGGAGGCTCAGTGTAGACAAATATGCAAGTTAAAAATGCCAGGGGAATCCAGTCATTGAGGGCCCTCTCAAAATTTTGTGAATTTTACCTTTTGAAGCTCTACCAGGTCCTCAGAGTAAAGATCAGAGAAAAATCCTCTATGACTTTCAAGAGGGGAAGGGAAAAGGAAACACTCTGAAACATACCAAGGCGTTCTTTTCTTCTTAAGGCCAGCCCTTCATCAGAAATTGCCATACCAGAGTTTAACCTGCTTCCTCTATGACTTTCAAGAGGGGCACGGAAAAGAAAACACTCTGAAATATACCAGGGCGTTCTTCTCTTCTTAACAAAGCCAGCCCTTCATCAGAAATTGCCATACCAGAGTTTAACCTGCTGGAGTGCTAGCAGACCCTAATCTACCTGAAAGAAGGGAAACATTCAAACCCAGCCCTTCCTAGCCACTCTATTCCAACTAAGTGGAGAAAAACCTGTGAAGTACTGGTGAAATTCACAGTCCAGCAGCACAGGCTCACCAAAAACAGATGGGTAATGTAAGCAGATGCAAGAGATACAGGACATGTTATGTTTGATCCCTGGGCCAGGAAGACTCTTGCCTGAAAAATTCTATGGAGAGAGGACACTGGCAGGTTGCAGCCCAAAGCGCTGGACGTGACTGAGTGACTAAGCACAAGTACAATGTAAGCGAAGATACGGAAATTCTAAGGAAGAACCAAAAAAAAAAGAAAAGAAAAAACACTAGATGCTAGAGATCAAAAACACCATAACAGAAATGGCAAATGCCTTTGATGAATCCATTAATAATTGGACAAGGCTAAGGAAAAAAAATCTCTGAGCTTGAGGATATGACAACTGAAACTTTTGACAATTGAAAAGCAGAGAGAACAAAGACAAAAAAAAAGAGAGAGAGAGAGAGAGAATATATAAGATCTATGTGAAAGTGAAAGTCGCTCAGTCGTGTCCAATTCTTTGCGATCCCATGGACTATACAGACCATGGAATTCTCCAGGTCAGAATACTGGAGTGAGTAGCCTTTCCCTTCTCTAGGGGATCTTCCCAACCCAGGGGTCAAACGCAGGTCTCCCACATTGCAGGCAGATCCTTTACCAGCTGAGCCACAAGGGAAGCCCTAGGACAACTATAAAACACAAAATGAGGTCATGAGGTCCTACTAAAAACCTTCAAATGGTTTCTCATCATTTGAAACAAACAAGGGCTTCCCTGGCGGCTCAGTGGTAACGATCTGCCTGACAGTGCAGGAGACAGGGTTCGGTCCTGCATGCCATGACACATAAGTCTGTGTGCCACAACTATTGGGCCTGTGCTCTGAAGCCCAAGAGCCACACCACGGAGCCCACGCACTCTAGGGCCCATGCTCTGCAACAAAGGAAACCCGCACACCGCAGCCGGAGAGCAGCTCTCACGTCCCACAACTAGAGAAAGGCCTGCGGAGATCAAAGAGCCAGCACAGCCAAAAGAAAAAAGACTAAGAAAGGTGACCTGTGACAGTGTAGGTGTAAGGCAGAATGGGAAAGCAACTTTTAAAAATAAATAAGTAAAACAAAAGCAAAGGCTCTCACACTATGGCCTCTAAGACCTGACATGGTCTGACCATTTCCTCTTCTATACCTCTTTTCATTTCTGCCTCTATCCACAGTCACGTGTCAGCTTGCTGTCTTCTAAGGCTTATAGTGTTTGTCTTTTCTTCAGATCCTCTGCATTTGTTTCTGCTGCAAGGTCTTCCCCCAGATTTTTATACAGACCACTCCCCTTCACTTTGTTCAGAAGTCTGCTAAAACATCACCTTCACAGACAGGTCTTCCTTCAGCATTCTACTGAAAACACCATCCTATCTCTTTTTATCTTGTTTTACTCTCTACAAAAATATTTTCTATTTTGTGACATAGTATTTATGTTATATAATTTTTTTATGTTATATAATTTTTTAATGTTATGTAATTTTTATATCATGCATTTGTTCATTTTCTATCTCATCCACTAGAAATATAATAAGCTCCTTGGGGTTGGGGAACTTTATTACTTCACTAGACCCAGCACCTGAAATGGTATTCAGAACAAATTAGGTACCCAATAAATACCTTTTTAATTAATAACTGATTTATTTTTAACTAAAAATTCTAAAAAGGTTTTATTTTCTGTATAAATGTGAATGGATTATGATAAAACTACTAAAACTATATTTCATTCACACTTCTAAATTTCTGAGAAGGAAACATTCATAAAAATATGTCCTTCTTTCTGCAGTGAATTTCCAGACCCTAGAAGATTTCTAGTATTTCCCCCAAAATAAAGAGACAAAAAATTAACCTAATAGGCTAAAGTTAAGATCCCATACAATTCTTGGTGATAAGAATGAACATTTTTATTTAAATCAAAGTATCTTTTACTCCCTCTGACACACATATATACACACTGATACCTTGATTGTTTTCATTAAGTTAATCTTTTCCACCAGGCAAAATATTCATAAAGCTAAAAAGAAAAGTCTAAAAAGGTATACTATAAAGTCTCCCTCCTATCCCTCACATACCTAGGTTCAAATTCCCATCACCAATAGCATCATAAGCAAGGATGGCAATTTGTTCAATCAAGTGCCGGACAGTAAATATTTTCAGTCTTGTGGGCTATAAAGTCTCTGTCTCAACTATTCAGTTCAGCTGTTATGAAGTGAAAACAGCCTTAGACTACACATAAAGTGAAAACAACCTGAGATTGCATGTAAATGAAGCTGTTATAAAATGAAAATAGCCTCAGACTACATGGAAATAAAATGAACATAGCAGTGTTCCAATAAAACTTCACTTGTAAATACAGTGAGAGAAATTTTCCCAGTGGGGTCAAACCCTAATTTAAATGTCTCTTTGATAACAAGTGTTAATGGCAGTGTTTGAAAGGAAATGCAATGAAGAGTGTGCAACAAAGATTAATATCTGAAACTTAAAAATTCATCCTACTACCCATGAAACATTGATATACTTTTAAAAAGAATATAAAATTTTCATATGAATAGACTTAAGGTTATCCCAAGATGCCTTCTTTATAATATTTTTTATAATATATATTACTTCAAATATACACCTGTGGCATAATTACGGAGAACTGATGAAACATCAAGACAAAACAGACTGGTAATCTAATTAGCAGCACATTGTCAACATTAAAAGTCTTGCCCCAAATGTTCTCTTAAATGGTAGATCAAATATATAATTAACATTTTCATAGAATACATTATAAAATTAACCCAGAATTCTTATTTTTAAAAAAACTAAATCCCAAAAGTATACTGCCCAATCACATCAATTCTAAAATGCAGGTTTCTAATATGTCTTAAAAAGGATTTAATTTAATAAGACAAAGTTTAGAGAGAACCAGCTGTCTCTGAAAAGTACATCATTGTAGACTGAGTAGACTGAATTTCTCAAAATTCAAAGGTATCCCAGCAATATATCTTACCTTCGATGTCATTCTCATAAAGAGTTTGTTCTGATTTTCTGCTGTTCCCATCTTTTCATTCTTGACTAAATCATTTAGGCTTAAGTTATCATCATCATGAAAGTATCTGACCCTTTCTTTTTCCTCATGAGTTGAAACCTATGACAAAATGAACACTGTAAGTTTAGTGAAAACACGAGTCTGAAGTATTTTAATGTACTACCCATAAATCTGACATTAAAAGCAAAAATCCCAATATATATATCATAATCTTTCCTTCCAGTTTCTTTCTATTCTGTCTGCATACATGTGGAGGAATTTCCATTAGAATAACACTCCCTATCTCTTCTGTAGCATTACCTTCCTCTTCCCAAGAGATGGAAGCATGATAACATCTGATTTCTGAGTTTTAGGCAAAAGGCAGAATTGCTTTATGCTTTCTCTCCCCTCCTTGTAGTAAAAAATCCATATCATTGTAGAGTTAAGTCAGGAGTTATCCAGAAATCGAGAAAGTATATCAAGAACAAAAGTGAAGTTTAAGCAAATCTACTTCAAACAGCTGTATCAGAAGCAAAGCTGATATTCTGACTCTCATCTAAACAATTCCAGGTTTCCCTTTCAGTTGGTTCCATACCTATCAGTGGAAAAGAAAACTGCTATCTATTACCCATCAAATCAAATCTCCTCAACACTGTTCTCAAATTCCCTTATCCAAATAAATCCTGCTTCTTTGGAACCATCCTCTTTTTATTTTATGCCCATATCACTATTCTCATTTCCACAAGCTTGTGTCTCACATTCTATGACTTCAATCATTCCTTGGATGCAAATCTCTTTCTGGTCCTCTTATACTTTCATTACACTCAAAACGCAAACCTCAGTGCCGAATGACTGTGTCTACCTCTCTACTCCTGTACCTAGATTACTCAGTAGCGAGCAATTCAAGAACACTACTGAATGCCATTTGGCAATGTATCTATGAACCCCAAGCCAGTTCTGTCATCTCATACAATTCAAACCTTTACTATTTTCCTATGACATCTTTCTTGTAAAACCTGAATACTTCCCATTTCATCAGAAGATGTATCTATCCCATTTCTACTTGCACTCAACAGGCAGATCATAAACATTTGACAGAAAGATTCTAAATGACTCTTTTGTGTACTCAATTACTGCTTATAAGATCTTTCAAATTTAAAACAAAAAATCTAACTTGAGAAAACTGAATATGTTGTTCTTGCCATTTTAAGAGCCTCAAGGCAGTGGTATAAATTAACTGCTGCAGCTAGAAGACAGAAAACAAAATTAGGTTTATAAAGGATCAAACACACATAAGAGATCTATGGGACCAAGGCTGTCCCTAAGAACTATGATGAGTATGTAAAAAGAAGCTAGAAACAATGTCAAAGAAATAAACATTAAAACTAAGATTTCCTTAAAAATTCAATGTTCACAACTCTTGTTGAATTAGACTACATTTTGTAAAAGGCAAAGGGATGTAATTAGAAGTAATATCACTATTTACTACCTTCTAATGTTTGCACTGGCCTTCCCTGGTGGCTCAGGGGTAAAGAATCCACCTGCCAATGTAGGAGATGTGGGTTTGATTGCTGGGGGGAAGATCCCCTGGAAAAGGAAACAGCACTCCACTCCAATATTCTTGCCTGGGAAGTGCTATGGACAGAGGAGCCTAGCAGGCTACAGTACATGAGGTTGCAAAGAGGCATATACTACTGGGTGATGAAAGACCCACAGCATTTGCATTACTGAACTACATGTCTAAAAATATTTCAAAGTACAGCTGACCCTTGAACAATGCAAAGGTTAGGGGCAGTGAATTCCTCTTTCTCCCTTTGTATCAGACGATAGTTGATCCTTTAACTATACTCCACATCCACAGCTTCAAACCACCACAGATATGGAGTACTACAGTATGTAATTAATTGAAAAAGTTGTGTGTCTAAGTGGACCTGAGCAATTCAAACTCATGTAGTTAAAGGGTTAACTGTAAATCTGATACAAAGGGGAAAAAAGGAATTCTAAATTAATAAACAAAAGATACATGTTAAACATACAATCTGTCTTTTCCTTTTTCCTTCTTGTTTTCCTGGTGTGTTTACAGGCCAGACTCTTCCGGAATGATCTGTTCTGACAAGGATCACTTCTTCCTGATCTTCATCCTATATAAAGTTTTAGAGGTAAAAATTGAAATTATTGAGAAAAATACTGAATGCTTACATTTAATAGCCAAAAAAGCATAAAATGATTTTATTTTCACATGATATCATGGATTATCTGAAGCATCCTGAACTTTCATTATCTACTATAATGTAAAGTGACCATAATCTTTTCAGGGAAAAGGTGGGAAAATACACCCAAAGTTTACTTAACTTTTAAAAATAATCACAGAAGCAAACTTCAAATAAAGTTTTCATTTAGATAATATAAAAGACGACAAAACACCAATGGTTCAAACAGGCACTGTAGGAGAGTGCCTATTTCCTACGGAGCAGATGTTATATTTAACAAATGCTTCTTCAATTTAAAAATCCTGGCTTGTCAACAACATGGCAGAGTAGAAAGAAGTGTGCTTGACCCTTATTACAGAAATTTTGAGATCACAAGTAACTGCTGAAGGACTATTGACCAAAAAAAACACTGAAACCTACCAAAAGAGATATCCTAAACCCAAAGACAAAGAAGCTATAATGAGATGCAATGAGGGGCGCAAAAGCAATAAAGTCAAATCCCATACCCGCTGGGGGGCCAACCCACAAAGTGGAAAAAAATTATACTCCTGAAGTTCTCCAACAGGAATGAAAGTCCTGAGTTATTAGTCAGTCTTCCCAGCCTGCAGGTCTGGCAATGGGAGGAGGAGACCCCAAGAAACTCTGCTCTGAAGGCAAACCTTCAGTGATTTAACAGTCCTGGGGAAACGGAAATTCCACTCTCAAAGGGAGCACACAGGGTCTCATGCATACCAGGACACAGGAGAAGAAACAGTGACCTCGTAAGAGACTGGGCCAGATGTCCCTGTTAGTATTAGATGGTCTCCCAGGGATGGGGGTTGGTGGGGTGGAAGTTATGGCTCAGATTTTCAACAACATGAGGCTCTAATACTTTGGCCACCTGATGCAAAGAGTTGACTCACTGGAAAAGACTCTGATGCTGGGAAAGATTGAAGGTAAAAAAGGAAGGGGGTGGCTGAGGATGAGATGGTTAGATAGCACCACCAACTCAATGAACAAGAACTTGAGCAAACTCTGGGAGATGGTGGAGGACAGAGGTCCCTGCCATGATACACTGTCCATGGGGCTGCAAGAGTCAGACACAACTTAATGAAAACAAGTGATAAAACTTAGTGAAAAACAATAATAACAGGAAACATGTATCAATAATTATCTTAAATGTTAATGGGATAAATACTCCAACCAAAACAAAGACTGGTTGAATGGATATTAAAAAACAGATCAGTATATATGCTGTCTGCAAAGACCTACTTCAGATCTAGGAACATATACAAGTTGAAAGCAAGAAGATGGAAACAGGTATTCCATGCAAATGGAAATCAAAAGAAAGCTAGAGTAGCAATACTCATATCAGACAAAACAGACTTTAAATTACAGATTGTTATAAGAGGCAAGAAAGGACACTACATAATGATCAATCCAAGAAGACATAAAAATTATAAATATACATGTACCTAATGTAGGAGCACCCCAATAATACAAATACTAAAAGTCATAAAAGGAGAAATCAACAAAACAATACTAGGAAACTTTAACTCTTTCCTCAATTAACAGATCATCCAGACAGAAGATCAAAAGGAAACACAAGCCTTAAATCACAGATTACACTGCATAGACTTAACTGGTATTTGCAGAGAACTGCATCCAAAAGCAGTAGAATATATTTTCTTCTCAATTGCGTAAGAACATGCCCCAGAAGAGATCACATCATGGATCACAAATAAAGCCTCAGTAAACTTAACAAAACTAAAATCGTACTGAGCATCTTTTCTTACCACAACACTATGAGATTGGACATTAACACAAGAAAATAAAAATCTAAAAAACACAAATACATGGAGGCTAAACAATATGTTGCTAAACAACCAATGGATCAATGAAGAAATCAAACAGGAAATCAAAAGTATCTAGAGACAAAGGAAATGAAGCCCAACCATCCAAAACCTATGGAATGTGAAAAAGAAGTTCTAAGAGACAAGTTTAAGACAATGCAATCTTACGTCTGGAAAAAAGAAAAAACACAAATAAACAACCTGACCTTACAATGAAAACAACCAGAAAAAGAGGAACAAAGAAAACTCAAATTTAGTAGAAGGAAAGAAATCATAAAGATCAGGGCAGAAATTAAATAAAAATTTTAAAAAATTGAAAGATCAATAAAATTAAAATCTGGTTCTTTGAAAACAAAATTGATAAACCTTTAGCCAGATGCATCAAGAAAAGAGGGAGTGGGCTCAAATCAATAAAACTAAAAATAAAAAAGAAGTAACAATGGACCACAAAAATTAAGTCTCGTGAGAGACTGCCTCAAGCAACTAGATGCCAATAATATGGACAAGCTAAAGAAATGAAGACATCCTTAGAAAGGTACAATCTTCCAAGAATCTTCTTCCATTGTAGAAATGGAAATACGAACAGACAAATTACAGTAATGAATTGAAATTATGATTAAAAATCTTCCAACAAACAAAACTCCAGCAATAAATGGCTTCATAGACAAATTCTACCAAACATTTAGAGAAGAGTTAATATTTACATTTAGAAAAAAGTTAACATCTATTCTTCTAAAACTATTTTGAAAAATTGCAAAGGAACAGTCCCAAAGTCATTCAATGATGCCACCACAACCATAACGCCAAAATGAGACACAGGTGACTACAAAAACAGAGAAAATTATAGGCCAATATCACTGATGAACACAGACACAAAAATCCTCAACAACATACTAGCAAGCTGAACCCAACAAAATATTGAAAGGGTCATACAGCATGACCAAGTGGGATTTCTCCCAGGGATGCAAATAATTTTATTATTTTCAAATTAATCAGTGATACATCCACAAACTTAAGAATAAAAACCATACAGACATATCAACAGGTACAGAAAAAGCTTTTGACAAAATTCAACACCCATTTATGATTAAAAAAAAAAAAAAGAAAACCTTCCAGAAAGTGGTCATAGATGAAACATGTCTCAACATAATAAAAACCAATTATGACAAACCTACAGCCAACATCATATTTATGGGTGCAAAGCTGAAAGCATTTCCTCTAAGATGAATAACAAGACAAGGATGTCCACTTTCACCACTTTCATTCAACACAGTTTTGGAAATCCAAGGCACCACAACTTAAGAAGAAAAAGAAATCAAAGAAATCCAGATTGGAAAAGAAGAAATTAAACTGCCACTGTCTGCATATGACATAATACTATACATAGAAAATCTTAAAGATGCTACCAGAGAACTTCTAGATTTCATCAATGATCAGTAAAGTTACAGTATACAAAATTAAAACACAGAAATTTGTTATACATCTACATACTAAAAACAAAAGGCCAGAAAGAGAAATTAAAGAAACAATCCCACTTATCAACCCATGAAAAGGAAACAAACATGTAGGAATAAAGCAACCTAAGGAGACAATAGACGTAAATTTCAAAAACAAGACAGTGATGAAAGAAATCAAAGATTATACAAACAGATGAGAAGATATACCACATTCTTGGTTTGAAAGAACCAATACTGTCAAAATGACAATACTGCATAAGTCAATCTATAAAGACTGAATGCAATTCCTACCAAATTACCAATGGCATTTTTTTTAGAACAAAATGAAAATTATTTGTATGGAAACACAAAAGACCTTGAAAAGCAAAATGAATCTTGAGAAAGAAAAATGGTGCTAGAGGAATCAGAATCCCTGACTTCAGACTATACTACAAAGCTACAGACATCAAAACAGTATGGTACCGGCATGAAAACAAAAATACAGATCAATGGAACAGGATAAAAAAACCCACAAATAAACCCAAACAGTCAGTTCAGTTCAGTTCAGTCACTCAGTCGTGTCCAACTCTTTGCGACCCCATGAATTGCAGCACACCAGGCCTCCCTGTCCATCACAAACTCCTGGAGTTTACTCAAACTCATGCCCAGTGAGGCAGGCTCAGTGATGGCACCCAGCCATCTCATCCTCTGTCGTCCCCTTCTCCTCCTGCCCCCAATCCCTCCCAGCATCAGGGTCTTTTTCAATGAGTCAACTCTTCGCATGAGGTGGCCAAAGTATTGGAGTTTCAGCTTCAGCATCAAAAAACCCACACACCTATGGTCAATTAATCTATTACAATGGGGGCAAGACTATACAAGGGTAGGAAGATGCTCTCTTCAAAAAATGTCCCCAAGAAAACAGAACAGCTACATGTAAAACAAGGAAACTGGAACATTCCTTACCACCATACACAAAAATAAACTCAACACGACTGAAAACACAAATGTAAGACCAGATTCTACAAAAACACTTAGAGGAAACTACAGGCAGAACACTCTTTAAAGTAAATCACAGTACTATCTTCTTGAGGCTGTCTCCCAGAGTAATATGAAAAGACAACCAATAGAATGGGAGAAAATATTTGCAAACAATGAAATCAGTAAGGGATTAATCTCCAAAATTTACAAACAGCTCAGGTGGCTCAATATTAAAACAAACAAACAAACAAACACACAATCAATATAGGGTAGATGACTTAAACAGACATTTCCCCAAAGAAGACATACAGATGGTAAAGAGGCACATTCGAAAAGATGCTGAACACAGCTAATCACTAGAGAAATGCAAATCAAAACTACAATGAGATGTCACCTCACACCCGTTAAAATAGTCATTTGTCAAAAAATCTACAAATAGTAAAAGCTGGAGAGAGTGCAGGAACTGTTGGTGGCAATGTAAATTGATATAGCCACTATGAAGAAAAGTATGGAGATTCCTCTAAAAACTAAAAACAGAACCACCATATGAGTCAGCAATCCCACTACTAGGCATATACCCTGAGATAACCACAATTCAAAAAGACACATGAACCCTAATATGCACTGCACCACTATTTACAATAGCAAGGACATGGAAGTAACCTAAATGTCCATCAACAAAAAC